GGAGACACAACTGGCTGCACACACACACACACACACACACACACACACACACACACACTAAACTCTTAGATGATATATAAAATTTATCAAGGTTATATAACATTCCGAAATATATAATAAAGCATCAAATGCATAAAGTAACACTGATTTAATTCAGGTAGGGAACAATCCATTCCTCTTTCTGTACCAAATCAGTCAAGAAGAATATATGTAAGCTTGTTGAAAGCTTGAATTGTACTGGCAATGAAGACAGCAACTGGAAATTTCAAAATAACTCCTTTAGGCCAAAGGTGATAAATCAAGTCTCAATTCACACCTGACTGAATATATTCTTGTATCCTAAGACTCAACACTAGAAACACTAAATAGAAATCTACATAATTATCTCAAAATAATTGAAGATTAAGACTATTCAAACCTAACTCATAGATGCAAGCAGAAACCACAAAGGGGCTATGATGGTAACTTAAACTGAAAGTACATTGTGGAATTCAGCTAAAGCTTTGGTAGCTCTGAAGTGTCATAGCAGGAAAGAAGAAAGCTAAAGCTGCTCTTCTGTTTTTATCTATGGCACGGGAACCATTAAAATTCAAAACACATGGAAGAAAACAACAAAGGAGCGAATCAAGCAGAAATAAATCACCAGTGGAAGCAACCAGTGACACCAAAAGTTGGTTATTTGGAGACTAAATAACTGATAAACTAATCAAGAAAACCATACACAAGATAACAGTAGTAGAAATAAAAGTCCAAACACCATCCTGGGTGATGATGCAATAAGAAAATATCAGAAGCAGCTGTGAGCCAACTATTTTGAGAAGGCAAGTCAAAACAGATTTTTCCTTGCAGAAAACAATTACAAAATTACAATTTCAAGTGTCAAAGAATATATGAAAATATATAATCTCATTTGTAATATCTATGTGGGGGGTTTCATAAAAACTATATATGACATAAATAAAAAAGAATAGAGATTGAAAGGCCTTCCCAAACAAAACAATGTCTTCCAGAAACAACAGTGCTGATACATGTATGAACTCACAGACACTGTGAGAACACTTGTAAGGCTTACATGGGTAGGTATGGCAGTGGGGAGAATTTGGGAAAGTTGGAAGAGGAAAAGATATGATCAGAATATATTTTATGAAATATTCTTAGATTAAGAATTTTTAAGAGAAAGAAAGAAAGTTTCCCTAAGGCTCCAGGGCCAGTAAAGGCTTTTATCGCAGCTTAATTTGGCTCTTGTCCCTGTATCCAAAACCCTACCTTTCTGGCCTCATCAGTACGGATGTCTATGGATTCTAGAATTCAGCCTTTCCGCCAAGGCCTGCAACTGTTGCCCTGTCTGACAATGGCTTATATATCAAGGTCTTTGATCATGGGCAGAAGATGGCAGTTTATCCACAGGATAAATAATATAAGAACTGCTTTCTTTAAAGCGAATGTGCAGCGCACCCTCAAATGAAAGACTGACTAAGCTTGTCTTGGAAGCAGGGCAGCTTCAAATCACAAAGCTAGCTCCAGAAGGGCCTATGGGAAACTGGGGTGCCTTGCAATGCCAGAGTCATGCTGAGACAGAGTCCTCACAATGGTATGATTAAGTGCTAGAAGAAACACATGTCATCCTTCCAGGGATTGAATAGAAGGAGCATGTAGAGAATTTTGAATTTTGGAAGATGGATGCAATCTACTTTTAGTAGAAAGGATTCCTCACAGAAAGAAAATGTCTCATGTTTAGTAGAGAAAATTTTTTTATGAAATATGTTTATGTTATGTATAATTGTTTATGGGAATAGAGTCTAAGTCTTCAGGGTTCAAGAGAAGGCAGAATCGCTGTGTTAAAAAAATCTATAAGGAATGCTATTGCTCACCACACATTCACAGTCTATGTCAGTTGAGCTCCCAATAAGCACACACCTCCATCTCTGTGAGCTGTAAGCTATGCAATCATTCAGGATGACTCAGAAAGTGAAGGCACTGAACTCAAATGAAAAATATAATGAGATGGTTCCCATGGGGGCAATAAAAAAGCAATCACTCATATGGGGAGAAAAGAAAAGAAAGGCCTTCCCAAAATAAGACTACAATGTTTAGCCATCAAAGCAAAACTGTTACTAATTTTAGAACAAAACAGCTTAGGTTACAGAGGCAATACAGGATTCTTCAAATACATTAAAAATGCTATTTGTCAATATGGATAATATATTTAAATATGTTACTGTCTTATACTATTCAAGAATACTTATTTGACTATATAAATACTCATAAAATTACATTATTATATATTCTGGGAATATGGGGTTTTGAAGCCAAGTGGAATTATTCGGTCTGAGATCATAGCTATTCTCTTTACTTTCTTAATGGTTTCCTAAAAAAGGTAAATGAGCTTATTATTTAGGAAATTCTGTTTATACTTTCCGTGTGTGACACAACATATATTGATTGTGTATAATCTTATCCAATATGGTGTTTGGTTCACAGTGTCTATATTATTTTTGTTTTCTGGGTTATTTTTAATATTCCATCTGCTGAATTACTGACCTCTTTGAGGTCTGGTTTAAAGGAGGATTGCTTATAGAAAGTGCTCCCCTTAACACATGTCACTGATGTTGATACTGCATTAAGAAAAATGATCCTAAGGGTTTGTGGCTTCAAAGTTAGATGAAGTGGGTGCAACACATATGTGGGTTTGCTTTGCTTTGCAGATTCTCAGGGAAGTTGATTTTCCATGTCCACTTCAGACAAATGTCAATGTAGATACTTCCTTCTCCTTTTCTCCACTCCTGTATAATTAATTACATTCCTTCCTTTCCATCACACAAAACTTGGAATCCTTTGAAGTCCCAAATTGAGGGGAAGCCTCCTCCAAGGGTTATTCTGTAGCATCCTTTGTTTTCTCTCTATAGCATCACCGTGATTCTCAGAGTCTGACTTCAGTTACTGGATGAAAAGCTTCAGGTGGTACTTCAGTAGGCTCTTGTTCTTTTCTTTAGTTTTGACCTTTTAGGATTTCTTACTTTCCCTCCTGCTCAGACATGTTACAGGCTGATATTTGCCCTTTCCAAGTTCCCATGTTGAAACCTGACCCCACATTGTGATATGATTAGGAAGTGGGTCACTTGGACTTAATTAGAGTTGGCTGAGGTCATTATGGCACTCTCTTCATAAATGAGGTTAGTGTTCTTGTAAGAGCCCTGAGAGACATTGCTTCCTCTTTCTCTGTCATGTAAAGAAACAGAAGTCAGTGATTTCTAGCTCATAACAGGGCCTCATCAGAACCCAATCAGACTGGTCTCCTGAGCTCCAACTTCCAGCCTTAAGATCAGTGAGAAGCAAATTCTATTGTTTATAACACACTCAGGCTGTGGCTTTTTGTTACAGCATCTTAAACTAAGCAAATTAACAGGTAACTATTGAAAGTGAGGATTGCTTTGTTTCAAATTATTTGCTCATTTCAAATTAATTTTAGAGATGTTTGCCCTTTTAATGCCCTGTGTATGAAATTGCAGGCAAAGTTGGATGCAGTGCCTTTTGTGAGATTATTTTTCTCTTTTTTGGAAGTCATAAGCTATAATGATTTTATAAATAAAAGCATATGGTTTATTCATTTTAGGCTAATTGGTCAATTATTAACAAAAGAATGCTGTAATCTTCAGAGAAGACAATAGTAGATGAATTTAATTTAAAGAAAGAGTAATGGAAAGGATAATTGTATTGGGAAGTGACATGTCTCCTATGCAGTAATATATAGACTGATGTCAATATGAATTGTTTAAGAAAGATTAATCAGACAAAGTTCTATTTTCACAAATTTATCACCTTTGAAGACTTCTTACAACTTCCTTCCTATACCCAAAGGAGCCCTGGAAGACTGGCTTATGAAACATCCCCTGGCAGGTCTTTAGAATCTAGGTCCTTATCATTGTGTGACTCTCTTTTTCCTCATCAATGTGCTTTATATCACTCCTCACCAAAACCTAGAAGTCACCCTTGAATGCTCACTAGCTCACCACAGACTCACATTTCAATGTTTCAATTTAACTACTTCAGTGTCTCTGGAAGCCCTTGTTTTCCCCTTTCTTATTCTACTGATGGGTTGATTCTGTTGGTCACCTTGCTTACATCCTGTACTCTACACTCTTCATTGCCTTAGTAAGAAAGGTAACCATAGGCACTTGAGCTACATGACAACATGTACAGCAAAACTTACTAGATTTCTGGGGTACCAAATTTGTGCTATTTAGATGAAAACATGTCTTGAGAACTGACAACAATCAAAAGTAGGAACTTAAGACAGATATAAGACTCAAATTTGGACTGGGTGTTCTTTAAATAACAACAGTAGCAATAACAAAAAGGTATGTGTAGCTATCAATAGCAGGAAAGAGGTGAGATTGCCCAGTTCCCAAAACTGAAAAATTCATAGACTTTCCAGTCACTTGTGTTTTGTCATTGCAGCCTGCAAAGATGAGGGAACTTCCTTCTATGGTATGATAAATTGCCCTGAATCACAATGGAGATCCTAAAACCTATCATGACTGTTTTATAAGAGGTCACCCAGGCAGATTTAAACACTGAAGGAAAAGCAACAGACCATGGAGGCAGCTGGTGGAAAGATGCTACCATAAACAAAGCAATGCTGGCACTCACCTGAAGCTAGGGGGACTGAGTGGTGCCATTTCATGCTTTTCCAAAGACAATGAATATGTGGACACGTTAATTTAGTCCACTGAAAAGAATTTTGGATTTCTGGATGCCAGAACTCTGAAGGATAGATTTATTTCTGCTGTTTTATGTACCTAAGTTTGTGTCAACTGTTACAATGGAAAAAAGAAAGCATCTCCAACAAATGATGCTGGCATAACTGGATGCTGGCATGTAGAAGACTGCAGATAGATCCAAGTCTATCACCATGCACAAAACTTAAGTCCAAATGGATGAAAGACCTCAACATAAATCCAGCCACAATGAACCTCTTATAAGAAAAAGTGGGAAGTACCCTTGAACAAATTGGTGCAGGAGACAACTTCCTGAACATTACACCTGTAGCTCAGACACAGAAATCGACAATTAATAAATGGGACCTCCTAAAACTGAGAAGCTTCTGTAAGGCAAAGGACACAGCCAGTAAGACAAAATGGCAGTCCACAGAATGGGAAAAGATATTCACCAACTCCTAATGAGGGAATTACCAATAACAGCCCCTAGCAGGCATGGTTACAGTGTCCCCTACTAACCCCATATCCAACAGAAGGCTGATCTCCAAATTTACAAAGAACTCAAGAAGCTAATTTCCAAAACACCAGATAATCCAATTAAAGAGTGGGGGTACAGAACTAAGTAGAGAATTCTCAACACAGGAATCTAAAAGTAGGCTGAAAGAAACATAAGAAAATGCTCAACATCCTTAGCCATCAGGAAAATGCAAATCAAAACAACTCTGAGATACCATATTACTCCAGTCAGAATGGCTAAAATCAAAAACACCAATGATAACTTATACTGGAGAGGATGTGGAGAAAAATCCACGCCTCCACTGCTGATGGGAGTGAAAACTTATACAGCCACTTTGGAAATCTGTATGGCGATTCCTCAGGAAAATGGGAATCAGTCTACCACAAGTTTCAGCAATTCCACTCTTAGGCATATACCCCAAAGAAGGAAATCTTTTACTGTCTTTTTTTTTCTCACAAGTTCCTATGGAAGCAAATCCTAATTGGAAAAATAATTCAAAGATAAGTTTAGACTACTTTTTATACTGAAGAGTAGAAATATTATGTAAGAAGGCTTGTTCACCATGTGCAAAGGGTTTTCCTTTTGTGACATTTATTGCTAGGTTGAGAATAATAAGGACATCACTTTAGCTTCCAAGGTATTTTTAAATGATAATTTAAAGCTCAGTGTTTAAATCCTGTTTGGTCCCTTGTCTGACTTCATCTTATTAGATTCTACTATCTGTGATAATTTCTCTGTTCTATTAAAAAGTTACCAATTGACCTAATTAAAATATGGACAACACAAATTGGACTTGTTTTCGATTTCTCCTTTTAATTTTTTTGTGTGGCAGATTACAAGGTGGAGAGGTGGACCTGGGAAGACTGGGAGGCGGGTGTGAGTGTGGTGCATGATATGAAATTCCTGAATAATCAATAAAAATATGTAATAAAGTTATATCCAAATATTCAATCTAGTATTTCCTGAAAGCAATGCTTAAATTTTTAAAGATATTTTTTCCATAGTGGACTTTTCCTATAGTGAAGCAAGATAGACAATCTCAACACAAATCGTTTTAACTATAAGTGGCTTCTTTTAAGTGACAAGATATCCTATTTCTAAAATAATCATTACACACAAAAAATATCTGTGCAGTCATACATGGAATAATATGTTTTTGCACAAACACACATGTATACACATGAAATAAATGTGTTAATTGGTTGCATTATATATGCATATAATTAGAATAAAGCATGACAAAGTCATTAAATGTGTCTTTGTTTTAGGTTTTTATCATGAGTTAGCATTGGGAAGTACTTTACACTCTCTCAACAGAAATCCAAATTGCTTTTGCTCATGGACTCTCTTGGAGAAAGAGAAACTCTTGCTTAATATTAGAAGACACACTTTCTGGGAAGTTCAAAGTGTGAACCTAAAAACACACAGAACTTTGTCACGGAGTGAGGAGCTGGACTTCTACTAAGCTCCTGTGTGAGACAGTAGCACCTGTTACCTAAGTAGCTATGTGCCGGCTTTTCCTCCACAACTTTGATTCTTCTTGCTCCAGCAGGTATCACCAGAACTTCCACATAACCTGTAAGAGTCAGTAAAACATGCCATGAATCTGGGGTTCTTATAAAACTCTTCTAATTAACTCGCCCTCACATGCCTTCAGGTTTTAGTAACCGCTACCATGTTTCAAAGGCTGTGTAGAGAAAACGCTTCATTATACATGTGCCATAATTTCAAGTGAAGTTTCTTGGAAAGACTGAGCACAGAGATCTATTGAGAAGTAAGAAGCGCATGAAGCACCCTGAGGTAAGGAAGAAGCCCAATGGAATAGCCTCCCTAGAGATACCTTAGGACAAATTAAAATCACCCCAGGAAATTATGCTCTGGGAATTCTCCAAGCTAGAAAAAGCAGAGAGAGAAAAACACTTGAGACAACACAGTTGGCCTGGAACTGTCCTTGGAGAGGCTGAGCTCAGGAAGAGAGAACAAGCTGGAGAGAAGTAAATCAGGTGTAGGGCCGCAGCAAGAGGTCTGCTGTCACCTCTGAAGGTGTGGCAAAGATAAACAAAAGGCACAACTGAATGTCCTCAGAAAATATTTCCAGCTGTGGTCATGGATATGATACTTGAAGGAAGGTAAACCAAGGTGGAATAAAATAAGAGAGATGCAGGAAAAGAGGGAATAGAGGTTCCACTTAGTGAAGATCATGGATAAAGAAGCCTAGTTTTAGCTTACTAGTTCTGTAAAATTTTAAATATTCTGTGCAAATTCATGTGTCTAACTAAAATCTGACTTGAGGCTTAAAAAGGCAAAGAGATGATTTCAAAGTTTTCTCCTATTAACTATTGTAATTCTTAAAAAAATAGTTGTTCAGCATAAGTAAAAAAGTAATGTGTAGTCTATCTTGTAGCAAGCATAAAATAAAGGTATTTTTTTTGTGTGTGTGTGTATGTGTATGTGTGTGTACACATGCACCCATAAGCATAGGTCAGAGGTTGACCTCATGTGTCTTCCTCAGTCACTCTTTATCTTATTGTTTTGAGATGGAATTATTTATTAAACCTGGAGCTCACTGATCCAGCAAGACTAGCTAGCCAGCAAGCACCAGGGATTTTAGAGTTTGAGATTACTGATAGTCAACTGGAAATTTATATACAAATATTTACGACATTAAACAACTCTGAAATTTAGAATACTTTAAATATCAAAAATTTCCAATAAGGGCTACTCAACCTGCATTGCACTGTCACAAAGTCTTATCTTACTGTCCATTTCCTGCAATGATGCACAGTTTCTATTCTATAAAATAAAGTAGATGAGACCATGACTCCCCAATTCCTATATTAATCAGCCAAACAGTTAAAAATTCTAAGAGCACATTTTCATAGCTCAAACCAGTATATTAATTTTCTTTTACAAAGAATCCCACATTTGACATTCATTTCCTTCATATTGTTTACCAGGTACACATCATGTCTCAACAGTCCAAACATACCAGCTACCATTCAATCCTTTATGAAGTTATTGCTTGGCTAGATAAGTGTCAATGAAAGATGCAATAAATATACTAAGAGAAAAATAATACATCCCAAGTTTATTTTCTAGCTCCAACAGAAATGATTTAACAAACTCTATATACAGCAGGGGGATTAAGCACGCCCCAATGCATCTGCACATGTGTTACTCACACAGAATCTACAGTGCACATGGCCATATGGGTAAAAAGTCTGAAAATCTCTTAAGAAATTCTAGGAAGTTCATTAACTGTAGGGATAAAGGAGTATCAAGAGAAATGAATACAGTGTTCCTAAAATCAAAAGTATATGGAGCTTATGATAGAACTAAGAACTCACACAGCTTTTTCAAAAACATAAATTACTAAGTAATGTAATGCTTCAATATTTCTTAATGCTTCAGTATTAATTAAGGACAGGGTGATGGACAGAAATGGCCACCCTATTTTTCCTCATTGAGTTTGAAATGTAATGGAGAAAAGGAATCCAAATAAATGCAAAATTCCAAAGTGTTCAGAACTATACTACATGACAAACTATAACAAGCATCTCTCTGAGGTACACCACGTGATAAATCACAGCAAGAATTGTTGAAGGAGTCATAAGGATAGGACACACCACTTTTTCAGTGATCATAACATTCAACCTGAGAGCTGTTCATCTAGCAAAACTAACAAAAGTTAGTTAGATCCACATCTACAAAACTGTGTTGCTGTGGGAAACAGTCAGGTTTGCCACCATTAGAAACTTAACTATCTTAATTCAGAAAAGGAAGGGAGCTACTTGGGAGGTGACCCTGGGGAGCAGACAAGGACAACATCAGGCAGGGATACTCCTAATAATTTTGTAACCAGTGGTTTATATGACAGATTGTAATATGGCATTGAAATAAAAGGCTTTGAAAGCAATTAATAGGAAAAATCTGCCTATGTCACAGCAGTCAGAAATGACATGCCACAGAGATTTCAGTGGTGTTTCTGTGGGGAAATGAAGCATTATTACTACCAAATAAAGAGCTGGAATCTCAGTGTGCATCAGTGTTCTCCAACACGGTCACATGTATACCAACTGTGCAAATGTCCTTTAGAAACATGGTGCTATGATATCTCCTTGCTCTTTGAGATCATGGTCGAACTTCTGTATTGTAAAAAATTCCCTTGTCCCAACTGTGCGAATGGCTGGACAAGTTATTTCATTAACATTTTGTCACTGAAGAGTTGAGACTCTGTATCAGCTAAGTGCATGTTGTCTCTCCTAAGTGAATGCTGGGAAATTCAGCTGTGTATCTTATTGTGTTAGAGCAAAGCAAAACCAACAAGTGCATTTAACCTCACAAAGGTTCATCTGACTTTCCTTCCAAAATGACCTACTTACTTAACTTCAGTTTTCCTTGATTGTCCAACATAAACTGATTGTTCTTCACACTACCACTAATTTATACTTTATCATCAGAATTTTTTTAAACTAGAGAATTTAAATTAAATTTTAATCCCAGCACATGAATGATGGTCTTAAAAATAGTCATAAACGGAGGCTGGAGAGATGATTCAGAACTTAAGAGCTCCTGCTTGCTCTTTCAAAGGACTCAAGTTTGGATCCCAGCACCCATTTCAGGCAGCTCACAACTGCCTTTAACTCCAGTTTCAGGCAATCAAACATCCTCTTCTAGCCTCTGTTGACACCTCCCCACCCCCACAGCATACACAGAAACACACACACAGTTGTATACATACACCTAAATAAATAATAAAAGGCATCTTTTTAAAAGAAGATAGTCATACCTGATAGCCCAACAGATAACATGTCCAAGAAAGTAGGTGATGAAGCACAGAGAATATTTGATTTTTCACAGTAAACTTGAGAATTTGATACATAGTGATATGTGTATATTTATGCATATATGTATATATAAGTGTGTATACATATGTTTATATATATACATATATATATTTGTATGTGTAAAATACGGTGGGCCATTATAACTCAGTGGAGATACTATCACTTTCTGTGGTGAGGAACTTTAAAATCACACTATATATATCATTTATATTCATTCCATCCTCACGTGTCCTGAGTGTAGTATTTACAGAAGAGAAAAGAAGACAGCAAGGGGCTCTTGCAACAAAATACTTGGAAAGTTCGCCCATGTTCATCCACTCCTGTCCTTATTTCCATCACGCTATACTACTGTTTCAGATTTGAGCTTTCAAAAATTTCCCCTTAAAATTTAGTAAAAGCATTATCAAAAAGGAAATGGAAGGCTGAAAGACCAAATACTAATATTCTCAATGGTTGCTTCAAGCTGTTGCAAATTACTATTTTTGTTAGACATTCTTTTCATTGGCTAATAAGCATTTTAGGAGCCTGGTAACATAAGCTGATGCAAATTAGATTATTCTCTTCCTGCTCTAACTTCTAGAGTGCACAACACATGACTTCATGTTTTCCTTATTGAGAAATAAGCGTGTTCAAATTCCTGGCTCATATCACACATATTGAATGTCATCACAAAAATCACTGAAAATGTCTTCAGTCAAATGAGAACTGCAATATCTAAATCCAATTTAATCTAATTTTTGTCCACAAAGACACTACAGTTTATGAAGTATGAATTACCTGCCCCTCTGGTGTGATTAAAGTCACCTTTAATGACTTTGCATGATTTTCCATTGCCGTTGCATACGCCACAATGATCTTCCCTGGCAAGAGACCCCAATAAACCGTCACATCCAGCTTTCTGTAAGAAAAGATGGGCATATATCAAAAGTTGAAGTATTCTCCTGGGCCTGCAGCCCAGGCTGTAAAAGACCACACACAGTTCTGTGCACCTCTCCCAGGTAGCAAACTCTATAACACTGCCTGAGGACCAGGGGTCCTGTGTGCCTCCCTCACATAGTGACTCTCCACCCTACCACTAATATAGCACCAGAGGACCAGTCATAGTGTTCTATACAACTTCTCCAGGAAACAATCCTCACACACAAACACACACACCTAGCCCCTGCTACCTGAGGACCACTGATAGAACTCTATGAGCCTTCCACAGATTTCTGGGAGTCTTCAATAAGAACCTGACCATTTCATGTAAGGTTAGCTCATGTGCTCATATATTGCACTGGCCCTAGCTAGCCTAGGACCACATCTGATACTCCAGATGCACTTCAACACTTCGTGGATCAAAAGCTGAAATCTGCATATCAACCAGTTGGTCTAAAAACAGACAAATTGGAAGAACAGCAAACTGAGATTCAAATGTCCATTCTACCAAAGTTGGGACAGATATCCGTAACAAAAATACATTACCAATTATGTAACTTAGGTACCTAGGTCCCATAACAAAAATCACAAAAAACAAATATCCAAGAAAACATATTTCCTCCAAAAATTAGTACTCTAATATTAATGTTCCCTGAGAAAAGCAACTGACATGATACCAAAGATAATTATTTCAAAAGAACAGTTAGGAGTATGTTCATAAATACAAAGAGGATATGGATAAATGTCAGAATGAAGACCATGAAAATAAAAATACTGAATAAAATAAGGAAAACAATTCAATATATGAAAATACATTTTAATAAAGGGATAGAGATTATGAATAAAGCCCAAACAAAATAAAACTTTAAATGAAAATTTCAGTAAGCCAGATTAAAAAGCTCAGAAGAAAGACTTACCAATAGGATGGATCGCATGAAAGAGGGAATGTTGGAGTTTGAAGACAAGGTAGAAGAATTTGATCACTGAATCAAAAAAAAATGATGAATCTAAAACCATCCAGGAACAGCATGCATTAACTAGGGGCACCAAATGAATCACAGGTATAAAAAAGGACACAAACACTGGTCAAATGTCCAGAGACTATTTTCAACAAAATCATAGGAGAAAAATTCTCAGTCTAAGGAAAGAAATGCTTATCGAGATGCGGGAATAACACATAATGCCGAATAGTCAGACCCAGGAAAGAAACTCCCCATGTCATAATAATCAAAACCCCAAATGTACAGAACAAAGAAAGGGTCTTGAAAGCTGCAAGAAGGGCCAAGTCACAGAAAAAGGTAGGCTTAACAGTTTTCATTGGATATTTTAAGACACGGAAGGGGACTTTGATCATTATTCTCCAAGTTTTTAAAGAGTACAGTTTCCAACACAAACAAACTATGGCCATAATATCTATCATAATCAAAAGATTAAGAAAAACATTCTATGGTAAAGGCTGGTTAAAAGAATGTGTAACAACTAATACTGTAATTCTGAGGAAACTCAAAGGAATATTTTGGATTGAAAAAGGGATAAACATGTCCAAGAGATAAGAATGAGAGGATAACATTAGGTAAGTGATAAACAAAGAAATCTAAAGAAAATAAGCACTATAAAGTTAACAAAATGACAGGAATCAATATGTTATTTTTAATAACTTTGAATTTCTTTCAAAAGACACAGCTTATCAGAAAGAATTTAAGAAACTAGATATTAAAAAAAACAAATAATCTAATTCAAAACAGGGGTACAGATCTAAACAGAGAATACTCAATATAGGAAATGCAAATGGCTGAGAAACACTTAAAAGAATTGTTCAACATCCTTAACCATCAGGGAAAGGCAAATAAAAACTAGTTTGAGATCCATCTTACACCTCTCAGAAGGCTCATGCTGGTGAGGACGTGAAAAAAGGGGAACACTCCTCCATTGCTGGTGGGAGTGCATACTTGTGCAGCCACTGTGGAAATCTATATGCTAGTTCCTCAAAAAAATCTGGAATAAGTCTACCTAAAGATCCAGCTACACCATTCTCGGGTGTATACCCAAAGGACACTCCATCCTATCACAAGGAGATTTACTCAGCTATGTTCGTTGTGACTTTAGTCACAATACTCTGGAACTGGAAACAACCTAGATGCCCTTCAACCAAAGAATGGATACAGAGGAAGTGGTATATTTACACAATAGATTATTACTCAGCTGTTTTAAAAGATGACATCTTGAAATTTGCAGAAAAATAGATGCAACTAGAAAAAAATCATACTGAGTTAAGTAACCCAGATTCAGAAAGACAAATATAACATGTATCCACTTAAAACTGGATATTAAGCATTAAGCAAATGATAATCAAGCTATAACCCATAGTCCCAGAGAGATAAGGCAAAAATGAGAGGTCTAGGATAGATCTCCCTGGGAGGGGCAAATAGAAGAGATTTCAGGGGTGGGCTGGGGGCAGGTAGGGATAGGAATGGGAGGATTGGGAAGGGAGGAGGAGAAATAGAGTAGAGGGAGAGAATGCAAGGTGAGACAGTTGGAATTGAGGGACATTTGAAGGATGGTATGGAAGCATAGTGCAGAGGAAACATCCTAAAATATATGAACAACATCATAATTGGAGAGATCTAATGAGATCTCTTAATAATGGGGGATACTGAGTCTTAACTGGCCATCTCTTTTCACCAAATGGGGCTTCCTGCAGCTGGACTGGGTTGCATTCAATTGAGCTGTGGGCCAAAAGATCCCATAGAAATCCCGAACTGCCCAGGCTGTTGAGAAGATGAAACAGTAACTCTCCACACACTGACAGTGGCGCTCCATTGCCAAAGAAAACACCTATACAACTCATTAAACATGGAGAAGTGGTGCTGGTGCCTTTTGCATGGAGCCTTTTCTCCTATGTACTAGTGTCTTTGGTGTGGGAAGGCACTTTGCAGCCATCGAAAACACCAACCCAGCCACAAGACTTTTGACCTACAGTCTGTCCTATCTACTAAATATGTTAGGGCAATGGTGGCACACAACTTGTGGGAGTAGCCAAACAATGTCTGATTTGATTTGAGGCCCACTCTTATGAGAAGAAACCCATACCCAACACTGCTTGGGTAACCAAGAACCAGAGACTAGAAAGCACAGAGAGCTAGGGTAAAACCAAACACTACTGGAGTAAAAGAAAGTATCAAGAAAATGACTCTTAATTATATTTTGTGATGCTCTTAGATCAGTGCCTTATTCAGTCATCATCAGAGAAGCTTCCTTGGGCAGCAGATAGGAACAGCTACAAGGAGCCAAAACCAAATACTATGCTGTGAGAGAGAGAGAGAGAGAGAGAGAGAGAGAGAGAGAGAAAGAGAGGAAGTATTTATTGAGTAAAGAGTGGAGAAGCCAGGGGGGGATGGAGGACACCAGGAAACTAAGCCTTTCTGAATCAACTAAGCAAAGAGCATAAGAACTCACTGACGCTGAGGCAGCAAGCACAGGGCTTACATGTGTATGTACCAGGTCCTCTGTGTGTGTATCATAGTCTTTAGCATAGTATTTTTATGGGAGTCCTGGCAATGAGAACAAGTGAGTCTCTAACTCTTGTGCCTGCTCTCAGGACTCTTTTCCTCCTGCTGGGCTGACAGGTTCAAGTTCAATATGGTAGCTTTTACTTTATCTTACTGAATTTATTTGTCATGTTTGATTATCATCTCCTAGAAGATCTTTTTGTTAAAAAAAATGAGAGACAGAAATGGAGTGGATCCAGAAGGGAGGGGAGGGGGAAGGAACTGGGAGAAGTGAAGGAAGGAGAAACTATAATCAGGATATATTGTGTCAGAAAATAATCTATTTTCAATAAAACAAACAACAACAGTAAATAAGAGTGACCATTATTACCAAGAACCACCTCATAAAGGCAGAAACCATCTTAGAGTGAAAGGGTGGATAAAGGTTCTCTAAGAAAATGGAACCAGGAGACAAGAAGTAGTTGCTGTCCTAATATCTAACAAAATAGACTTGGAAGTTAAACTAATTAAGAGATACAGTAGGTTACTTCATATTGATCAAAGGAACATTCCAGGAAAAGATATTACAAACTTCTATGTACCAAACTTTATAAAGTAAGTTCCTTTACAAGCAATGAACAGATTAACCCTAACACATTAATATTAGGTAATATCAACACTCTACACTCACCAAAGGACATGTCATCTGAGGTGGGGAGGTGCACAAAATCAAAGAGGTAAGTGATATCATAGATCAAATGACTCTAACAGAACAAAGTGATATCATAGATCAAATGACTCTAACAGAACATTCCATTTAAACACTAGAGAACACGCATTTATCTCAGTAGCTCATGGAACCTTCAACCAAACAGAGCATGTAGTGGAACATGAAATATAAACCGTCTTTCAATAAATATAGGGGACAAATAATTTTTTTTTTGGTTTTTCAAGACAGGGATTCTCTGTGTAGCTTTGGAGCCTATCCTGGCACTCACTCTGGAGACCAGGCTGGCCTGGAACTCACAGAGATCTGCCTGTCTCTGCCTCCCAAGAGTTGGGATTAAAGGCATGCGCCACCAACGCCCGGCTCGGGGACAAATCATTCTCTATATCTTATTTAACCTCAATAAAGTAAAAGTAGGTATTAATAGTAATAAAAAATCAATGGAAAGTATAGAATCATGAAGATTTAACAACACTGGATGAATTATTCAAAAGATAAAAAGAGAAAATTAAAACTTAAGTAGAGTAAAATAAAAATGAAAATGAAACATTTTAAATCTACAGGATACAACGAAGGCACTCCTAACAGGATACTTTATTGTTATAAGTGCTTACATCAAAACTGAATAAACATCGTAGTGATGTCCTCTAAGGTCTTGTAAAAACAAAATCAAAACAAATAACCCAAAACAGTAAACAGGGAAAAATAATCAAGCTCAATGTAGAAATAAGAATGAAAAAATAAAATCAATTAGAGGAGGATATG